CTGCTTCCTCATCAAAGCCTCTGTTTCCCATGTCTCTTCTTCGACCCGATCGCTCTTCCAAAGTACTTTAACCATTGGGACTTCTTTGCTCCTCAGTTTCTTCACCTTTCTATCGGTGACCTTGATTGGTTGTACAGCGTAGTTCAAATCCTCACGTACCTCTACAGGTGGTTTCTCCAATACGTGAGAGGGATCATGCACATACTTCTTAAGCATGGATACATGAAATACATTATGTATCTTCTCTAATTCAGGAGTTAACTGCAGACGATATGCTACGGCCCCAATCCTCTCTATAATTCTGAATGGACCTATGTACCGTGGATTAAGCTTTCCTCGGGTTTGGAATCGTATGATTCCTTTCCAAGGAGAAACCTTCAAGAATACCTCGTCATCAACCTTAAACTCTAAGGTTCTCCGACGCTTATCTGCATAACTCTTTTGTCTATCCTGAGCCGCCTTGAGTCTCTCTCGAATCAACTTTACCTTTGACTTGGTGATCTCCACCAACTCAGTACCCTCGAGTTTGGACATGCCAACCTCGTCCCAGCATAACGGTGTACGGCACCTCCTCCCATACAATGCCTCGTATGGAGGCATGCCGATGCTTGCCTGATAACTGTTGTTATAGGCGAACTCCACAAGTGCTAAGTGGTTGTCCCAACTCCCTTGGAACTCCAATGCACAAGCCCTTAGCATATCTTCTAAGATCTGTATGACTCTTTCAGACTGCCCATCTGTCTGTGGGTGGAAAGCAGTACTGAACTTCAACCTCGTTCCCATAGATTCTTGAAATTTTGGCCAAAAACGTGACGTGAATCGTGGGTCTCTATCGGATACAATGGTCACTGGGACCCCATGCAGCCTCACGATCTCATCCGTATACAATTTGGCTAACCTTTCAAGTGGGTAGGTAGTGTTGATAGGCAAGAAGTGTGCACTCTTCGTGAGCCTGTCCACAACAACCCAAACTGCATCGTAGTTCCGAATTGTCCGTGGTAAACCTACCACAAAATCCATAGTCACATGTTCCCACTTCCATTCAGGGATGGAGAGTGGTTGTAATAAGCCTGCTGGATGCTGATGTTCTGCCTTAACTTGTTGACAAGTAAGGCATCGACTGATGTACTCGGCTATTTCCCTCTTCATCCCAGACCACCAGTAACTTTCTTTCAAATCACGGTACATTTTCGTGCCCCCCGGGTGCATGGCATAAGCCGATGAATGAGCCTCCTCTAAGATGGACTTTCGGAGCTCATCATCTGACGGTACACACACTCGGTCACGAAATAACAAGAGACCATCGTCTCTTTCCCTGAAATCCTCCACTGGTCCCGCTTGCATGCATTCCCGGACCTTTATAAGTTCTACGTCAGTCTCTTGACCCTTCTTGATCTCATCAAGTAAGGTCGGTCTCACCTCGAATCGTGCCAATAAGGCACCGTCGCTAGATACATCCAATTGGGCCCTCAGTGCCCTCAAACTAGTCAACAATGCCCCAGACGAACTCTTCCGACTCAGGGCATCTGCTACAACGTTTGCCTTACCTGGATGGTACTCAATAACTAGATGGTAGTCCTTTATTAACTCCATCCACCGTCTCTGTCTCATGTTTAACTCTTTCTGAGTAAACACGTACTTCAAGCTCTTATGATCAGTATATATGTGACATGTCTCTCCGTAGAGATAATGTCTCCAAATCTTCAGTGCAAACACTACTGCTCCCAGCTCCAGATCATGGGTAGGATAATTCACCTCATGCTTCTTCAGCTGTCGTGAGGCATAGGCGATTACCCTCCCATTCTGCATCAGTACGCATCCAAGCCCTTGGATGCTCGCATCGCTATAGACATCGTACCCCACACCCTGTTTGGGTAATGCAAGTACCGGTGCCTCGGTCAATCTCTTCTTTAGTTCCATGAACCCTTTCTCACATTTGTCATCCCATACAAACTTAGCTCCTTTACGAGTGAGCTTCGTCAATGGTGATGCCAAAACAGAGAACTTCTCCACGAACTTTCTGTAGTAGCCTGCCAATCCAAGGAAACTACGAATTTCCTTGACGTTCTTCGGCCTCTCCCATTCGGTAATGGCTTCTATCTTCTTGTTATCAACAGCAATTCCCGATCCTGAAACCACGTGCCCGAGAAAGCCAATTTCCTTTAGCCAAAATTCACATTTAGAGAATTTGGCATAAAGTTGCTTCTCCCGTAGTGTCTCAAGAACGAGTATCAAGTGTTCTTCATGCTCTTCCTCACTCTTTGAGTAAATCAAAATGTCATCTATGAACACAATCACGAATCGATCCAAGTATTTATGGAATACTCGGTTCATCAAGTCCATGAATGCCGCTGGGGCGTTTGTTAACCCAAACGACATAACAAGGAACTCAAAATGCCCATACCTTGTGCAGAAAGCACTTTTTGGTATTTGAGGAAAAGTTTGTTTTTCCTTTGTAATACTACACTTCCATAAGCTAGCATACTACGAAGTATTTTTTTTATTATTATGTATTCATTGGTAATCGTAAGTAATAATAGGAGTCTTACAATTACCAATGAATACATAGTAATAAAAATACTCCGTAGTATGTTAGCTTATGGAAGTATAGTATAAGTGTATAACAAAGGAAAAACAAACTTTTTTCTCAAATAGCAGAGCGAATGAGAGGGTTGAACTTGTTTCCTTCTTGAGTAGGCATCCAAGCCGCCTCCGGGGTTCGAAATCCTCTGGCGATCAAATTTTTAAACTATAAAACGGAGCATGCAAAAAGAACCATCGGGATTTGATTTTTTAATTTCGGGGTATTGTTAATAATACAGTACACAACCTACATGCTACTGTGGAGGACTACTTAATAATACTCCCTCGTTCTCTACGTATTGTTATATATATACATTACAACACCACACATACAGTCCAGTTGAAGAACAATATCAAGCATAATCTGAGTTGAAGATCAAGCTCCAGAGAATTCAGCAATATCACTCCCTACCTGCCAAGTGCCATACAGAAGGTAAATTTTCTATCAGAAATTGACCTAAATAGGAGTAAAAACGTTTTGAAATTCCAAAATAGGAGTATCATATTTTTTATTCCCTGAATAGGAGTAAATTTCTGCCAAGTTTGACATTACAAGGCTTTTAAACATGGCATTTTCTTCCAAACTTGGCAGATTACTCCTATTCAAGGAATAAAAAACATGATACGATCCTATTTTGGAATTTCAAAACGTTTTTACTCCTATTTAGGAAATTCTCTCATTTTCTATTTGTTAAATTAGCTTATGTCCCGTACATGTTATTACTATCCAGTAATCAAATATCATTTCATGTAATTTTATGCAATTACATACTTTTAAATTGCTAAGTCCAAGAATCAAGATTTAAAACAAGTAAGCTTTAAGCTTTATCCAGATTTACATTTCTACGTACACCCGTTTCTACTACTCAATAATAATGCACATCACTGCCATAATAATGTTAGGTGAAACAGATGCTTCTAAAAAAATCAGACTTGTTCTTTTTATAGTATATCATATTTCGTGAAAGTTAGACTTGAAAAATATTTAAGACAAAACATAAAATAATATAAATTTTTTATTTAAACCATTCCTAATTTGTCATCCAGTGTTCACAATTTTAATAATAATAAATCTGAATTCTAAACTAAGTTTTCACTGCCTTAATAATAATGTTTGTAGATCAATTTTTTTTATAATAACTGTAATCAATACAAGAAATCTGAAATGTAATTACATATTTGGAAAGTGTAAATGTAAATAAATCGTATCTAAAATTATGGAGCACTAACATTTATCTAAATGTAAATAAATCTGAAATGTAATTATAGATGATTTTAGAAGTTTAAAAGTTGAGTGGAAAGTGTTGTTCGTTAGTAAAAGAACTAAAAATGTGAATATTGATTTTCATATGTAGGTAAGGGTCAGATTAGTACTCGAAGTTGCATAAAAAGGGTCAAATAAGTCCTTAATGTCCAGTCGTCGCCATTTGAGGCAGTTCCCGGAGGAACTTTTTGATGAACTTTTTTGAGCATCCTATTGATTAAGTCTAGTTTACTCATACCAAATTTGAGATAAAAATTAAATGGGGAAGGCATTCAAATGAGTTCTTGAAGATAATTGCACTTTTAAGTGCGCAGTTATCTTCAAGAATTCATTTGAATGCCTTCCCGGTTGAATTTGTTGCTGAAATTTGGTATGAGTAAACTAGACTTAATGAATAAGATGCTCAAAAACTTTCATCAAACAATTCCACCGGGAACCGCCCCAAATGGTGACGGCCGGATAGATCCTCCTATATAAGGACTTATTTGACCCTTTTTATGCAACTTCGAGTACCGATCTGACCCTTACCTCTTTTCATATGTATAAGAAGACAATCATGAACAATAGATAATGTAATTTTCATATTTACAATATCCGGAAGCTCTAAAATCGTTTGATCCAAAAACTCAATTAGCTTGACTTACAGATTTAAGACAAATAAGCTTCAAGACATGGATTTTAAAATTCTGATTTTTATGACATGAATGTATGGTGTACTTGCAATCATAAAATGTCAGAAATTATTACTTCATGAGCTTGACGTCTTCGTAGTGATGTTCCTCATTCAGAGGGCCGAACTGTCCACCTCATACCTGGATACCCTACATCAACATCAACATCATAAGCAAACCACAAAAAAACAGGTTTTTAGCGTCGGTTTTCTAGCGTCGGTTTCTTAAACCGACACTAAATACATAAGTGGCAACGGTTTACACAAACGTTGATAAGTATGATTTTATTAAACAACGGAAGCAATTAGCCACGGTTTTGTAAAATCCTCGCGTCTGTTTAAACAGACGTTAGTACCGAAAAATAATACCGCGAAAAATTGCGCGCTTGATTTTGGTAGGGTTGAAATCACTTAAAACAACCTCCGATTTTACCGATGCTAAATTGTATTTCAAAAAAACTTTGAGCCCATATATTCAGATATGCTCCTACCAGCTAACCCTATTCCTCATATCTCGTTTCTTTTCATGGAGTCGGTCCACTGCCCAAATCTTCGCCGCGCAAACTGCTATCTTCATCTTTGCCCAAATCCTTTGCCGCTCGAACAGTAGTTTAGAGATGCGCAGTAGCTTCTCAAGCTGAACACGTCCCTGAAAACGATTCTTTGTGGTCTCCTCTTTGCTACAAAAGTCTTCTGCTAGCTTTAGCTTCTGGACTAAAAGATAGGTAATTCTCAATTTGAAGAAGTATGAATCGTATTTGCAAAGGCTATTTGTGTTCAGATTGTTGTTAGAAGCACATTTCTGATTTTTGTTGCTAGAAATTATGTTTTTATTGTTCAATTATGTATTTTAAATTTTATTGATACTCTTGGAAGCAAACCCAAGTTCCAAATGCCTAAATGGGTTCATTTGTCGATGTATTGTCTCATAATTTAGCCAAGTTGTCATTTTATCAGTTACTTGCAGGAGTAATATCGATTTTTCTGTTCATTACGAACCCATTTAACACCCAAGTTCTTCTACATGTTAGTGTAATTTTTCTGTTTTTTTTTTTTTTCTGTAGTTGAGCACTAACACTGCCTTGGTTTTGGTAGTTGTTATCCATTTAAACTACATGATATAAACATGCTTTTGATATATATTTCAAATGATTTTCACATCATCTGAAAAGTGAATCTACTCTTATTATAGCAGCTCCATATTCTTCAAAGGAACGAGCTTGTTTGACAGATTTTCAAAGAAATTTGAACCAACATAATATAATGATGGTCCCGGATAGGGTAAAAGTCTAGAGGGGGGGGGGGGTGAATAGACTTTTAAATCTTTTTCAACTTTATGAAGTTTTCCCTCTAGATGAATTGCTCTATAATCGTTTGAGAGATTAACAGATGCACAGCGGAAGTCTTTACCCTTTATGTAATGAGTGTTTGACCACTTTCTAATTTTGGGAAGATTGGACTTAGATGGCTAGCAGTTGGCTTGGCAGTTAGCTTAGCAGTTGACTAGGTAGCAGGAACCTGCTGAGGTAACTGCTAAAGAAATATTGACTTTATGATGAGAGTGATGATGAAACGTTGTTTAGAACGCAAGAAAGATGTCTGAAAAGGTACTTAAGTGAGTTAAGATGAAGTTTAACTGGAGCAGTGGTCTCAGCAGTTGGGTGGTACTGAGGAGACTGCTGAGGCACCTGCTATACTTTGAAAGTGAATTTCCGAGAACTGATAGAACAACCTTTTTGGTAATGCTTTAGTAAGTGAACTGTGTGGAGATAGCCTCAAAGAGAGTGAGTAATTAAGCAGAAGGATAAGCAGTTGGGTCAGTTAAGACAACTGCTTAAGATGCTGCTGGCAAACTACAATCTTTATACGAGAAGTGCTGGGTGTGTTTTGTTGAATGAAGTGAAATCAACACACGATGTATCCTGGTTCAGAGGTGGTGTAATCCTCCTACATCCAGTCCCATTCTCTTTCAAATGGATTTCCACTAAAGTATTCAGCCCAATACACTTAGTGCCAATCTAGCCTTTACAACTCTTAGGCCTAGATTGAAGGTTTTTCACAATGAGTATAACACCACTCAAAGTTACTCAGTCCTTAGACTTTTCTCAATTGATCCAGTGGGGATCGAAAGGTACTCTATCTATCTAACTACACTTTAGGATCCGAACAACTGTTCTCCTAAGTGTTTACAACCACTTGTGAAATATTACAAGAAAGTTCTAACCTCCAACTATGAACTAAGCTCTAAAAATGTAAAAGTATTGATCTGATCTAAGAGCTTAGTGAAGCATGAGGCTAAGCAGAGAGTAAAGTTGAGTTTGCACTTTCTCTTTTGCTAGATATCTCGTATATGCTTTGATGAAAGTATTTCTCCACTTAGGATGCTCAAGCTTATTTTTGAACTCATGATTCTACCTATATTTATAGGCCTTCATGGTTGATTAATCTCATCCGTTGGTTGAGATGGATTAATCTTGTGCGTTGAGGGTCTGGCTGGGACGAATTGTACATTCGTCTTCTTGTGCAGGAGCTTTTAATCCTTTTGTTTTCTGTCTTGAATAATTGGGCCGCGGCATGGGTTTGTCTTCAGCCGCTGCAGCTTTACTCCAAAAGGACGTCCCATGCTGTAGGACCATGTACCTGTTTAAGTTTTTAATGCTGGTCATGTTTTGTCTTCCAATTATACATCTTTGATGTATATGATTTTTCGAGCATCTTTAAAATGTGACATTTATTTAATCTTTGAGCCAAATGATATTTGCCGGTTGGATCTAAATATCCGTTTAAGGTAAACAAAAAGTACCTTATTGCATTTTTACTTTTTCCGGTACTATTTCATTAGTCTCAAAAATTGTACATTTATTTTGTCACATTTGAATAATTTGAGTGCTAATACTTGAATTTAATTTAGACACAATGTACGGGTGCAAAGTATAGTGGCATCATCAAAATCTTATCAAAATTGGGTACTAACATATAAACATGAGTTTGCTATATTTTTCGAAATGGATTTTCACATAATCTGAAAAGTGTAATCTATCCATTTAACTAACATAATATAACCACAATTTTGATATATACTTCAAAGTGGTTTTTCACATCATCTCAAAAGTGAATCTACTTTTTAGGAGCATGAGTGTTCCCTAGAGATATTGAATGCTTGGAACTAGTAAGACACATTGAGGATGTTATGATGAATGATTCTGCTATCATTTCTACTGCTAATATATAGGAGAACTGAAACAGAGGGTGTATGTTTCTCTTTTTATATCCTTCTAATTGCATATTAATGTCTTCACATAATTTTTCTAAAAATGTTTATTACATTTTTTTTATTTGCAGGATGGCACCTAAGTCTAAGCGGCCTAAAGTTGTGGTGGCGCCAAACACTTTGCGCTCTATCTTTTCCAATACCACTCCACCACTCCTTCCTAAGCCTACACCTCATTCTACTTCTACCATGCCCGGTTCTAATTTACCCCAACTTCAGAGATCAGTCCTCAATAAGGCTGCCTTAGCCGATTCATCTCATACTCCTACATCACCACACCTCTATGATTCTCATTCTAACAGAGATCCTGAGTCACATGAGTCAAATAATGAAAATTCAAGTCATATGCCTACAACATCACATAACTCTGATTCAAGCTCACATTCAACTGGAAATATTGAATCACATCAACGTGATAAGGTTAATTCCTCAAGGAAGTATTGGACTGTTAACGTGATAGGTACATTGTATCATTTTTTTTATTGATAAGCTTTACTTATACAGGGCTAAAGTTTAAGAATTTGAAAGCTTTTTACTATTTTACTATATTTAATTATAGGTGAGGATGAGGTGATTACTGAGGAGAAGTTAAAATCTAAGGATGTGTGGAACTTACAAGGAAAGAAAGTGATAATTGAGTTCAATAGATTCCAACAAGGGATTGGTGAAGGTGCAGGGTTGATTGGAGTTTGGTTGGGGGAGCTAGCGAGTGATGTAAAAGTGATCCCAATGAATTTTACTGACTGGAGATCAGTTCCTCAAATGTATAAAAAGAATGCAGTTGGTGATATTGAGGTATTACTTTTCATAGTTACTTATATACAATTTAAGATACACTTTAATGAATTCACTCATAAATGTAGAGACACTTCTATTTCCAATCTGATGTTGGGATGTCATGGGCGATGGACTCGTTACGTGATAAAAGGAAGGAGTTCAGAAATAGATTAAAAACTGATTATGTGAAAATCAATAGTAAAAGAGATGAAGTTATGTGTACCCCTGCTACTGGAATACCTCAAGACCAGTGGAATAGTCTCGTAGATTATTGGTTTTCTCCAAAAAGTAAGGTATAAATATTTCAGGGCTTTATGTTTGCTATATGATATGTGTACTTATCCTTTCTTATGTAAAGTAGATACTTATGACAGAATACAATTCTATCGGACAATGGGTATAAATATTTCAGGATATGTGTACTAAGAACTTCATATAATTTATATGATTGTAGGCGATGACAGAAAGGAACACACAAAATCGCAAAAAACTAAGGTTTCCACACACCGGAGGATCAAATAGTATTGCAAGACGAACACATGAGATGGTGATGCATATAATACTTTAATTCCTATATAACCTACTCAATTGATAACCCTTTAGCATTAAAACTAGAGTTCAACAGTGCTAACAATATGTGTGTTGTAATATATAGGAATTAGAAACTGGACAACATATTGGCCGAGGTGCAGCATTTATTGTTACACATAAGAATAAGGACGGATCTTATGTGAATGATGACGCTAAAGTTGTGGGTGTAAGTTTAATTTTTGTGTGTTGTATAACTGTTAGACCCTAGATTTTGATGAACTATTTTGATGATGCCAAAATCTTTTGTTATCTCCCCTCTATTTGTAGCATTCTTATAAGTTTGGAAAATGTAGTAGTCTTGGTTATCCTCTGCTGTAACATCTTGAAATTGACTAGTACTAAGAAAACCTATCTAGATGTGTCTTGCTCCTTGGTCCATTTAATTAGACAAATAAATTTGACTGGAAAAATCATCTACCAGTTAAGTTGTACACAATACCTGCTAAACTTCACAAACTCTAAAAGTGACAAAAACACGAATGTAAAAACTATGTACCAAATTAAACATACTGGAAATTATAAAATACAATGAGGTAATTTTTTTTTACCTTACATGGATATTTAAATCCAACCAGTATAGTTTTTATTTGATACATAAGTTCAATCTTGTCACTTTAGGAAGAAAGTGATTAGTAAAATAAGTGACAAATTTTATTGTAAAATTTGTACCAAATAAATTGTACTGGAAAGAACAAAATGCAATAAGGTAATTTTACTACCTTAATAGGATATTGAAAAGATCCTACCAGTACAAAATTTATTTGGTACAAAATATTCTAAGTCACACATTTTACTACTTCACTACACAAATTGAGCAGGTTCACGCACTTTACTACATGAGTATAGTTGCAAGACAAAGCCAAGACCTAATGGCAGGTGAACAGTGAAGAAAAGGCCTAAGGTATGGGTTGACATTTCGTACGAAGCAAGTTGGCCTTCAAGCAGCACCAAAGACAATTCCTTATCCTGCTCCAACACAAGAAGACACAAGTACAATACTTTGGACGTCTAGATTTAAATCCTCTCAACCAACGGAGGAAATTAATCTACTGGAGATGCCTATAAAAATAGGCCGAAGCATGAGTTCAAAAATAAGTCATTGAGTTCAAAGCAAGTGATTCAGTCATTACACTACGCATATCCAGCAAAAGAGAAAGTGCTTGAACACTCTGCTTTGACTCATGCTTCACTAAGCTCTTAGACTAGATTATTCATTGTAACATTTATAGAGTTTAGGTTTTAGTTGGTGGCCAGAAATTCCTTGTAACACTTTACAAGTGGTTGTAAACACTTAGGAGAACAGTTGTTCGGATCCTAAAGTGTGGTTAGATAGATAGAGTACCTTTTGATCCCCATTGGATTAATTGAGAAAAGTCTAAGGACTGAGTAACTTTGAGTGGTGTTATACTCATCGTGAAAAACCTTCAATCTAGGCCAGGGTTGTCAAGGCTAGATTGGCACTAATTGTATTGGGCTGAATACTTTAGTGGAAATCCATTTGAAATAGAATGGGACTGGATGTAGGAGGATTACACCACCTCTGAACCAGGATACATGGTGTGTTGATTTACTTTCATACATACAGAACACACACCAAACACATCTCACTAAAGGTTTGTAGTTTGCCAGCAGCATCCTAAGCAGTAGTCTTCATCGACTCTACTGCTTAGCCTACTGCTTAATAACTCACTCTCCTTGAGAGTGTTTTCCACTAGAAGTTGTCTTAAACTCAGAAGGTAACTCAGCAGTACACTGGTCTTCACCCTCCAGCTAAGCCCACTGCCCATCCAAACGTGTCTTTCCAAACCCCATAACAAGCCAGAACAAAAAGCCATCCAAGAGTCATCCTAGTCCTCAGCAGTTGCCTGCCAGTCAGCAAACTGCCTGTGCAGCAGTAGCCTAAGCAGTTACCTGCTCACCAGCCTACTGCCAAGCCTACTTCCTCTCGTAACCAGTCTAAACATCATCTAAACTAGAAAGTTATCTCACACTAAGTATAAAGAGGTTAAAGACTTCCGCTGTGCATCTATTGATCTCTCAAAAGATTATCGATCAACTCATCTAGAGGGAAAACTTCATAAAGTTGAAAAAGATTTAAAAAGTCTATTCACCCCCCCCCCCCCCCCTCTAGACTTTTTCCTCTATCCGGGACCATCAAGTGGTATCAGAGCGGTGTGTTCCTAGAGTCAGTTTCTGACTATTTTCGAACTAAAGATCCAAGTCCACTTTTATCCCAAAACTTTCTAAATGATGGATGAACAACAAACAAAGAATCTGTTGATCAACAACAACAAATCCAATGACTGGAAAACAAAGGATGCATGGGATGAACTCACGGAGAATCAATCAAAAGATGAACAAAGCAGCTCAAATGATGAAAGCTGCTCATCAGAAAGGCAGGAGGAAGCTATAACTTGCTTCTTTGGAATGATTCCAGAAAATAGTTCCTCTCACAACTATGATATGGTCAGATCTTATGAAGGTGACAATGATGAGGTATTATCCTGTTCTTCAAACGATTCATATGATTCCAACTCTTCCAGTGTTGATATGGAGACATTGCTCCATCAATTTGAAAACTTCCAAAAAGAGAACCTTAGCTTAATGAATGAAAACTACAGACTTCAAGAAAATCTCTTAGTAGCTCATGCACAATTGGGTGAAGCAATCAAAAAGATATATTATCTTGAAAATAAAAACATCAGGTTGAAAGAAAAGCTAAGCTCCCTCACTCCCCCACTCACTAAGGAAGTTCAACACACTGAAAAAGACACAGGTTACAAATCATGTTCCTACTCATTGAAAAACTCTCCCAAATACTCTTCTACCACAAAACATACTTTCAAAGAAGACACAAAATCTCCTAGCCACCAACACTCCCACATCCAAACAGTTCCTACAAGAAGGAACATGTCTACTCCCAAACCAAAATCAAAATCCCTGTACAAACAGAAACTTCCTATCAAAAAGGAAAACCAGAGAACCAGTTGGCATATCACCAATAAGACCAACTACCCACCTAAGAAGCAGCTAAATCAACCCAGAAGAAATCACTCTTATCCTACATACAGGAGAGAGATGATGAACTCATACACAGCCACCTCATCTAAATACATCACCTCAAAAGGCTGTAGATCACACTGCTTAAAGGAAAATGGTTCTAAATGGGTATGGATGCCCAAATCTGTTCAAAGGAAGTTGCCCACTTCAATGTGGGCTACTACCACTCAACATTGACAAAAACAGGAAGGTGCTGGAGCAACTAAACCCAACAGAATAGTACATACATTCTAGTTGCTTCAGGCACATGATTAGGAGCAGAAGGCCACTGATAAATTGTTCAAAGGAAGAACCCAAAGAAACACTTGTATAAGAGGAAAAGAGAAGAAGATATCAAAGGAGTTGGAGATTCAATCAAATGAAGAACTTACAAATCAATACACTCCCTGTGTTGAGTTTTTTTTTTTTAAAAAGTTCAATCAAAAGCACAAACCAACTCCAGATCAATTGTTACATCAAAAATGATGTAACTGTGCTTAATGAAAGATTAAGGAAGAACCACCTAGGTGATGGAAGAAGAAAAGATGAGACCATTTCAAGAAGGTGACTCAGACGCCAGACTACTACTAGCAGAAGACTCAGACTGAGACAACTGCCAGCAGTAGGATCAGATAAAAAAGGATCATCACCAGAATCAAAGCTCCCAATCTTCCAATTCTATCTGAGGAGAATGATGAGAAAGAGGAAGAAAAGCAGCTGCTCAAATCTAAATCTCTGAAGAGAGCTCAGCCAGACAATGAAGAAGTCCAGTCAAGAAAATCCTCAAAGAAGACGGCTGCCAATCGAAATCTTTAAGCAGAAATGGAGGCAGTAGCCTCCCCATTAAAAGTCTATTCGACTCAGCAGCATTCTCACTTCCAACTATCCATGAAGAAGGTGAGGGATCTCAACATCTTGAGAAGCAGCAGACATCTGATCTTCTTCTACATACAAACTATTCATGAAGGGATTCGTCTTGGAAGAATACCAGAAAGGCTCCAAGCTGCTTGACCAGCTATATTAACTGAAAATGACTGGATTCTAGAAACAAAGGTTGAATCAAATGGCAGCCAACTACCAGCGGGCAGCTTGAAATGCAGATCACCACCAGCAGTTGACTCAACTGTCAGCCCACTGCCAGCAGGTGACTCACCAACAAACAACCTTCCGAGCACTTATGACATTCCTAATCACACTATTCTACCAGAGGATAGTGAAGATGAAGAAAAGAAGGAGGATGACCAACAAACTCTAGCCAAAACAACCACATTTGATGTCAGATGATTGAGCAAACATCCTCCTCACCAAATTATTGGAAGTATCAATACAGGGGTTCGTACCAGATCAGCAATTCAGAGAGAAGCATTCTTCTCATGCTTCATCTCCCAAATGGAACCCAAGAAAATTGAAGAAGCCCTACTTGACTCTGACTGGATACAAGCAATACAAGAGGAACTAAATCAGTTCGAGAGAAACAATATGTGGGAGCTTGTGCCCAGACCCTATCACCAACATATGATAGGAACCAAATGGGTGTTAAGAAATAAGATGGATGAGGAAGGCACAATTGTCAAGAACAAGGCAAGACTAGTAGCCAAAGGCTACTGCCAGGAAGAAGGTATAAATTTTGATGAAACCTTTGCTCATGTTGCCAGATTAGAAGAGGATGTCTTTGTGGAGCAACCTCCTGGTTTTAAAATCATTAGAGAGAAGGATCAAGTCTGCAAGCTAAACAAAGCTCGATATGGACTCAAGCAAGCTCCAAGAGCATGGATAACAAGTGAAGCAGCCTCCACAAAACTTCTACATCAACCAAGAAACTGAATAAAGAAAGATTCAGAATTCGAGTCAAAAGCTTGGGGTGATGATCAAAGTAAAGGAATTACCCTGTACCTATTCAGGGGAAACTCAATTGAAAGGGAATTCCTAGCCACCTGTTGAGGGGGAACTCTTCACTATACTCAAGAAAAGTCACCTACTCAAAGAAAGCTACTCAAACTCACAGGGAATGAAGCATCAAGGTCCAAGAAAGTCAATCTCAAATTTAAAAGAAGTCAAAATCCAAGCAGAATGAACAGCAGAAGACTAATCTCCAACAAGCAGCTGCCTCCGCAGATGACTGCTCTCCGGTAGCAGCAAACTCAGCAGGCAACTGACTATCAGGCCACTGCTACATTAGTAAAAGAGATGCTTTCACAAAGAAAAGAACAAATGTAAGAAGAGCAATGGAGCAAGTGCCTGCCAGCAGGTGCCTACCTCAGAAGCAAGTCACTGTATCAGAAGCAGGAGGCTGGAAAGAACAGCAGCAGGCTCACGGTTGGTACGTCTGAATGAGCCATCTTGATTAACTTAATGAAGTACATCCAGAAAAGCTCCAAACAGTCAAGAAACCACAGAAGGAGAATTTCACTCTAAAAAGGAATATCCAAAGCATCAATTGAGGGGGAACTACGCATGGAAAATTTCGTGACAAAAGGAAATTACTAAGGAGCATCAAGTAAGGGGGAATGGAACAAAAAGCCATCTCAAAGAGGAAGGAAAGAGGATGTCAAAAGCAAAGAAGAGGATGAAAAATGAAGATCATGACTCATCAAACTCAGCAGTTGATACAGAGGAACCTGCTGCCACAACAACTGAAAGTCATAATCATTGGAGAATGAGAAGAACAACTAGCTCAAAACTGCTAAAAATCAGATACCAATTCAAAAAGGTACGATATTGATCCACAAAACTCAGCAGTAGACCCATATATGGATAGAAAATAGAATGCTACTATTCTGTAGAAACTTATTTTTATTAGGAGCATCTTGCATCTGCAGCATCCTAATAAAATAAAGATTATCTACAGTTTTTAGTAAGTATCCCATTTTTTATTACTGTCAAAATTAGCCATAAACAAGCTAAAATAGTATCCTAGAACTATCCATCTCTGAGCATGCAAAAGGGAGTGTCAGAATCATCTAAAAAGCAGAAAGAGTTTATGGTTACATGCAACATGCAAAAGCAACACATGTTGATCCGAGTAAACCTACTCAATGGCATCATTAAAGATGGTCATCAATACCATTTAATAGAAATTCTTATACTCCCCATTAAGAAGAGAACCCACCGCCAAAAACCTCCAATCGACACGCCTCGATCTCCTAAACGCAATCTCGAAAGACGAGGAGACGATCTGAAAAACTGGATATTAAATCTTAATCGATCTCCTCTCACATTTCATCTCCAACCTACATCTATTCTTCCCATACAACCTTGCAGAAAACCTCAAAGCCCTAACATGGCAAACAACATGTATTCAGAAGACCTTCTTGAGCTCTCACTAGCTCAACCTTCCTCTATTCATCAAACAAATCTCACTCCACAACAAAACGAACACGTTAACTTCCTCGAAACAAGAACTCTATTCCTTAAAGAAAGAGAAGATCTTGACCAACAAGTCAGAAGAGTTCTAAACTGGAGAGCATGGAGAATGGCTCCAATGGAGAAGCTGGCTCAAGAAGCAGCCTTCGTACAAAATGAAGAACAATTTGCTCTTAACTGGCTTCAGGAACAGAGCATTGAGATAGCTATGCTTAAGACCACCATCCGAAGGGTCTGGTATCAGAGAAGCTTAGAGCACTCAAAGAGACTGACAATCAAAGGATGAGAAGAAGAAGCTCAAACTTTGTCTCTGGGGAATCATCAAACCAAAGAAGAAGAACAGAGTGATTGGTGAATGCTACCAAAAGAGGGGGAAAGAGAGTAGGAAAACACTTTAGGTTCATCTGCTAAATAAAGTGTTTAAACTCTTCTTTTGGCATCATCACAAAAGGGGGAAATTGTTAGACCCTAGATTTTGATGAACTATTTTGATGATGCCAAAAGCTTTTGTTATCTCCCCTCTATTTGTAGCATTCTTATAAGTTTGGAAAATGTAGTAGTCTTGGTTATCCTCTGCTGTAATATCTTGAAATTGACTAGTACTAAGAAAACCTATCTAGATGTGTCTTGCTCCTTGGTCCATTTAATTAGACAAATAAATTTGACTGGAAAAATCATCTACCAGTTAAGTTGTACACAATACCTGCTAAACTTCACAAACTCTAAAAGTGACAAAAACACGAATGTAAAAACTATGTACCAAATTAAACATACTGGAAATTATAAAATACAATGAGGTAATTTTTTTTTACCTTACATGGATATTTAAATCCAACCAGTATAGTTTTTATTTGATACATAAGTTCAATCTTGTCACTTTAGGAAGAAAGTGATTAGTAAAATAAGTGACAAATTTTATTGTAAAATTTGTACCAAATAAATTGTACTGGAAAGAACAAAATGCAATAAGGTAATTTTACTACCTTAATAGGATATTGAAAAGATCCTACCAGTACAAAATTTATTTGGTACAAAATATTCTAAGTCACACATTTTACTACTTCACTACACAAATTGAGCAGGTTCACGCACTTTACTACATGAGTATAGTTGCAAGACAAAGCCAAGACCTAATGGCAGGTGAACAGTGAAGAAAAGGCCTAAGGTATGGGTTGACATTTCGTACGAAGCAAGTTGGCCTTCAAGCAGCACCGAAGACAATTCCTTATCCTGCTCCAACACAAGAAGACACAAGTACAGTACTTTGGACGTCTAGATTTAAATCCTCTCAACCAACGGAGGAAATTAATCTACTGGAGATGCCTATAAAAATAGGCCGAAGCATGAGTTCAAAAATAAGTCATTGAGTTCAAAGCAAGTGATTCAGTCATTACACTACGCATATCCAGCAAAAGAGAAAGTGCTTGAACACTCTGCTTTGACTCATGCTTCACTAAGCTCTTAGACTAGATTATTCATTGTAACATTTATAGAGTTTAGGTTTTAGTTGGTGGCCAGAAATTCCTTGTAACACTTTACAAGTGGTTGTAAACACTTAGGAGAACAGTTGTTCGGATCCTAAAGTGTGGTTAGATAGATAGAGTGCCTTTTGATCCCCACTGGATTAATTGAGAAAAGTCTAAGGACTGAGTAACTTTGAGTGGTGTTATACTCATCGTGAAAAACCTTCAATCTAGGCCAGGGTTGTCAAGGCTAGATTGGCACTAATTGTATTGGGCTGAATACTTTAGTGGAAATCCATTTGAAATAGAATGGGACTGGATGTAGGAGGATTACACCACCTCTGAACCAGGATACATGGTGTGTTGATTTACTTTCATACATACAGAACACACACCAAACACATCTCACTAAAGGTTTGTAGTTTGCCAGCAGCATCCTAAGCAGTAGTCTTCATCGACTCTACTGCTTAGCCTACTGCTTAATAACTCACTCTCCTTGAGAGTGTTTTCCACTAGAAGTTGTCTTAAACTCAGAAGGTAACTCAGCAGTACACTGGTCTTCACCCTCCAGCTAAGCCCACTGCCCATCCAAACGTGTCTTTCCAAACCCCATAACAAGCCAGAACAAAAAGCCATCCAAGAGTCATCCTAGTCCTCAGCAGTTGCCTCAGCAGTTGCCTGCCAGTCAGCAAACTGCCTGTGCAGCAGTAGCCTAAGCAGTTACCTGCTCACCAGCCTACTGCCAAGCCTACTTCCTCTCGTAACCAGTCTAAACATCATCTAAACTAGAAAGTTATCTCACACTAAGTATAAAGAGGTTAAAGACTTCCGCTGTGCATCTATTGATCTCTCAAAAGATTATCGATCAACTCATCTAGAGGGAAAACTTCATAAAGTTGAAAAAGATTTAAAAAGTCTATTCCCCCCCCCCCCCTCTAGACTTTTTCCTATATCCGGGACCATCAATAACATATGTGTTATGGAGTGCAAAGTATTTCTATTTAGTGTGTAGGAGGGAAAGGTTCCACTTAATCTATACAATATTTTGTTTGGATTTTGTAGGAAGAAATTGAAAAAATTATGGATGAAGAAATAGCATCAGGGCAAGTCAATGATGGAATGCCTTCTACAGATGATGCAGTGGGACAAGTTTTAGGCAAAGAACATAATGGCAGAGTTCGTGGGATGGGGTTCGGTGTTTGTCCATCTAAAGTTTTTAGCCCATCAATTTGTCGAGGTAGGGGGGCTACGACGCCACTGCATAGTGCTGTGAACAATTCTTCGGAAGTGCAGTCCTTAAAAACGGAACTACTGAAAGTTAACAAGCGTCTTGAGAAGGAGCAAGCTGAACGAGAACGTGAGCAATCTCGAATCAGTAATGTTTTCAAATACTTGGAGCAGACGTTGGGAATTCAGCTACCACAGGTTAGTATTTTATCATTTTCCCGTGAAGATTGCAATCAAAATAATCAACTGGGCATGCATATATGTACTTGCACTTGTTATAGAATTAATTAAGTTATTTTTGTAAAGTATAATCAAATTGATTGCTTTCCATTGGAGCTGGATTTCTATCTAGACATAATCAAAGACGACTTCTATATTCCTTATTGCAGTTTAGGAATTGTTATGGATCTCTACTTTGCTCATTTATTTGAACACAATATTAAAAATGTGCTCAATGAGATGTATTAAAAATGATGATGATGATGATAATGTATTAAAAATGTGTTCAATGAGATGTATCTGATAACTTATTTACTTCTTTATGGTTATAGATTAGCTTTAAAATGATGTGTAGTTTACAGTTCACGAGTATTGGGAAGATAGAGTTCTAATTTGTTGTTCAGATTTGATGTTTTTTTAATGACATGCTGCTGCTCTATAAACTATTGCTCTACAGTCTAAACAACATAAACATGTGAAAAAAGAACATGCTGAAGTTTGGAATATTTTTTATCCCAGGAAACAGGCATGTAGATCTTCAGCTATTGAAAATCGAAGATTGTCGGAAGCAAGTGATGATGCAAACACTAATTAGAAGGACTAGCTACTATATGTACTCCAGTGATAGTATGAAGTATTTTGAAATACTGAAACTGTCCTATTTTGTGAATTTTGTTTGGGATCTCTGCATTTCATTATTAGTACTATGAGATGTATAATGAAATATTGGTTTTGCTTACCTATAATATGATGAGTTTTGGAGATGAGGAAACTTGTTATACTTATTAATTGCTTTTGACAGATTTTATTGGAATCAATATTATAACCAACACTAAATCAGATTGATTCCTAGCTGATTTGGGATTAATATCAGTGTCGTAATAACTGCTCCATTAAAACAGGGATATTAGTTGCTATAAGTGTGAATCTAGTGTCGGTTATTTATGATGCTAAAGTTTGAAAACCCTAATGACTTTTAGCGTCGGTTATGACTGATGCTAAATATTGAGAAATTTTGATTTCTCCCAGGTGTGCAGTGTCAAAATAAATCGTTGCAAAAGTTAACTGCTTTTGCGTCGGTTATAAGTGATATTAAAGTCTCAAAATTTGTGAATTGTTGTAGGATGATAGCATCCGAATAGACCGTTGTGAAAGGTATCGGGTTTTAGCGTCGGTTGTTCCAACGGTTCTAATAAACGACGGCATAATCACCCCGACGGAGCAGTTACTGAAGGTCTTCAAAACCGTCGCAAAAGCATTTAGCGTCGGTTATACCCGACCTAAACGTGTTCCAAGACCGACGCCAGTAACCTGTTTTTTTGTAGGTGTATAAGTCATCAAAAGGTTATCATTGAAAAATAAACCCTACTTAAATCACTTAAGGGAAACTTTCCATAATGATTCAATTTTTACAAGAGAAGGAATGAAAAGTTCAAAAATCCAGATTTAAAACAAATAATTTTACAATTCAACGCGTAAAGTCAAATCTACTTTTTTTGGTAACAAAAAATGGCTAACAAACTAAAAAAAAGTTGCCAAATGGGCTAAGTACTGTGAGTGATGGTGCGGGGTTCATTTGACAGGTTTTCTCGATCTAAGCATATTAGTTGACCTCTAAGTTGTTGACTTACCTCAGAATTAAAGAATCTTGGAAAAATCATATTCCAAGTCACTCAAATAATACTCGTGTTGAAATGTAATCTTTGTGTTTTCAAATTTATAAATCTCACCCCTTACTCTTGTCCAAATTATAGTAAATGTGATCCTTTGAGAGGTGTCATTTATAATGTGTGCATCCAAGCAATTGAGGAGTGTCGGTGACATTTCCACACATGGAGTCATGGACTACATTTCAATACCGTTACTATTTGAGAGGTTGAAAATGCTATTTTCCCAAGAATCTTTTTTCATTGTTTCCGTACTTTGATTGTAATTTCAGGCCAAATTGTTCGAGATATATCCACACAAATATATAGCTGTCATGATAGAATGTTTAATCTCTTCTGTTGAGAATGCCGTTGTTGGGGTATTTATCGATAGAACAAAACAAGCATGCAGAGCCGTGCTTCCTTTGAGGCTGATGAGGCATAGGCCTCAGGGCCCAAAAAATGTTTAAAATTTAGGGGCCCATAATTTTCAATTACTTTATATTATACATATATATTTAAATTATTAATTTAGTTGACCATTTTAAATTTGGCCGCAAGCTACGCTTGAAAACCCACAAATAGGGAAATAGCCGACCAACTCAATGAAGTGGAACAGCTGAACACATTGAAGATTTGAGAAGCGCATTACGGGTTTATTAGCTAGGGCGATCTTGCAATTCTGGACTGAAAAATCGACCAATAGAAACATCATAAATATTTTATCCTTTTCAGCCTAGCTAATTCGTTCTAAGATTATAACCTTTTTTCAGATTTTTAATTTGTTGATTCCTTTTTTATATCTACATATAAATACACTCTAAAAACAATTAAAACAGTCAAAATACTACAATCTCGATCTGGTTGTAATTAACTTGTGCTGTGAATATGTGATGTTGTTTTTTGTTGGTTTGAATTTTGCTCCATGCACATTTTTAGCTTTTAAACTCACAAATTAACGTCATTCATCATTTCATGTATATTATAATTAAATAAGGCATGAAAGCCACAGATGGGCTAAATTTGAATTGGATTTGCAGAATAAAAAACTTTTATTTGTCTTTAATATTTCAATTTTTAGATATTTAAATTTTATTTGGTACGTTTGTTTTATTAATATTAGCATAATATGATTCCAAGAAATTAGTTACTTTAACACATTTGGTTTTGTAATACTGTAACATAATAATTTTATTTAATTATATATTTTTTGTGGTGTTTAATCTTTGACTTCAAAAACAAATTACACTATGAAAGGTTGCAATTTATAGGGCCTTTTTATGAAATTCGACTCAGGCCCGATTTTACGTAGGATCGACACTGCAAGCATGGTTAATATGATGGAATAAAGGATTGTGATGAGTTTTAGATTCCATCCTATTGCCCATGCTTGTTTTGGTCTATCGATAAATACCTCAACAACGACATTCTCAACGGAAGAGGTTAAACATTCTAGTATGACAGTTGTATATTTGTGAGGATACATCTCAAACAATTTGGCCTGAAATTACAATCGAAGTATTGGAACAATGAAAAAAAATTCTTAAAAAATTGCATTTTCAATCCCTCAAATAGTGACGATATTGAAATGTAGTCCATGACTCCATGTGTCCTGAAGTATGGACATCTCCCGACACCCTTCAATTGCTCGGATGCATGTTGATGGTACCATAGATCACAATCATGGCCCAAGATTGAACGAAAGCAAAGCCCATTAACGGGATCAGCCCATCAACAGGATCAGCCCATCAACGGGATCAATGATAAATAGCCGTTGGGCCTAATTAGGAATCCAACCAGCGAAAGGAACCCACAACCAGGCCTAGCTGGACAGCAGACCTTGAGCTTGGGCGGAGTTCTAGCGAGTTTGGGATCTTCCTAGAGCTTGTGTGGCAGGCTATCATTCGTTCATAGCTATCTTGAAACGGAAGAATGTGGACTTTAAAAAGACAATCATTGCACAACGTCCAAGACGTTACAGGAGACTTATACGACTGGAATAATATTTATGGCATTTATTGTACTCCGTTTCAGTTTCCTCCTGAAATACTAGCTCCAAGAGTCTATAAATACTTCCTATAAATCCCCTATGAAGGGTGAAGGGATCGATCAATGGATCCTCCAGAATAATTATAAACACTGCCTTACGTTGTCCATATTTCATATCTTTCGTGAATTAGCTCTCGTAGTTGGATGAAACTCCATCACATTTAAAAGTTTTTGCACACATTTTAAATATAACCCCTCAAAGGATCCCATTTACTATAATTCAGACAATTGAGGATGACATTTGTAAATTTGAAAACACAGGACCTACATTTCAATATGTTTATTATATGAGAGATCGAAAGTGTTAGAGATATTTTATGGTGTTAAATCATGTCTTACTTAAGTGTATTTGTGTTGCATTTAGTCTAATTAATAGACTATTATTAGACTAGTTATTTTAGGTAAAGCCTTGTAATGTGTGCATTTGGGCCACCTCCATTAAAGGGCCCAATCACACTTAGGTCACATCACCCATTCCCTAGGCATATAAATATTGCCTTAAAGGGAATGGGATCAGCGGCCTTCCCAGAAATTCCCTGCGCAATAGCCTAGAGCTAGAGAGAGTTTACGCTACCTTGAAATATCATTCTGTAAAACTCATTCTCTATCAATGGAAGGTTTCATTCTATAAGCTCTATTTATATTTCTAGAATAGAAACAGGGACCAACAATTGGTATCAGAGCCGAGCGTGTGACCGATTGAAGTTTCTGCTATTGATCGATCTATTGAAGTTGAAGAACAGGATTTGCGCGATTTTTCATCGGCACTGTTCTGCCTTGTGCGCGATCTTGTATATTATTTTTGTTGTTATTTTTGCAGAAAAATGTTTACAGGAAAGTGTTTCTAGACTTGCAAGGTTCCATTCAGTGAAAAATCGCATCCAGAACTTTGGCGTACAGGTTAAGCTGGAGTTGAGCGATCCTGCACTTTCGCGCAACTCCCTTGGAAAGAAGAACAAGTTTAAGCGCAAAAGGCCTCTTGCCCGATTTCAACTTCGCGTGAAACACCCTGCGCGATTTTGGACTTGAGCTATTTCGTCCTTGTGTGATCTAGACTCGCCCGATTTCAAACAACATTCCTGGCGCGATCTCAGAATTGTGATTTTCTTTGCTGTTGCGCGATTGACCCTGCGCGAACCAGTGTTGCGCGATTGACCCTGCGCGAACCAGTGTTACGCGATCTTACTCTCTTGTGCGATCTGTGTAGTCGTTTGCGCAAAACTTGCAGGTACGTGTCGTGCGCGATTTGAGTTCGTTGCGCGATCATTCAATTGACGACCAGGTGTTGCGCAAAAGTACTCCTTGCGCGATCCGAGTACAGACCTGCGCGATCGCGATCCGGGGTACTCTGTTGCGCGATCAGGTGTTGTTGCGCGATTCTTTACTTGCGCGAACTTAGTACCACCCGGGAGCAAATTTAATTTTAAAAAAAAATACAAAGGAAGGAGAGGCAAAATTGTCTTTTGTGACCTGCGGAATTTTGCGGCTATCGTGTCCGCAGGTCGCCCGCGCAGGGGGGGTGCGGATTTTTCGTTTTGAACTTCAAGCCGAAATCCCCTGTGCGCGAGAGCTCCCCTCTTCTCCTTCACCATTTAATCTTAAGGAAGGAGTGTTCCATATAAATAGGCTCTAAAGTTTCCAAGGGTTTTAGGTGTGGGATAAGTTAACAAGCTTACTTTTTCCTTCACTTGGACAAGTACATTTTTTCCAAAACCCACTTCAAGTGCTAATTTTTAGCTCCTCTTCAAACCTTGAGGTCAAACTCCTAAACCAAAGCTCAACACTTTTTCAAAGCTTCAAATAGTCAACCTTGAGATTTAAAAAAAAAAAAAAAAAAAAAAATATTAATTAAAAAAAATCTCAAGGTTAAGACTAATTTTTCTCAAAGTCAAAGCTACATTTTCAAGAGCCACTAACCTGCAGAAAAACTTCAATCAACCACACGTCAACGATCAACATTCAACAATCAATCATGACTACCCCAACCGCTGCTGATAAAGTGACTGCCCTCTCTGTTAAAAACAAGAATGCAGACAGCGCTGTAAGCACTTCTAATCCTTTTGCTTATACTTGC